AATCGATTGCCTTAAACTTCTTTTTCCAATGTTTTGAGTAAAACATTGGTGGCGACTCCATGAACCCTTCCTTTTTATGAAAACCGCTAATCCATGGAGGGTCCCGCTTGGGATTAACATGGATTGGTGAGCCTTTTAATAAAATTGCTCGTTTGACAAGGTCTCAGTTTGAGAATAAGTCATTCTAGCAATCCATATTTTTAAACAAATAAAAGAGTCCAACCATCCTTCGCGAATGCCGAAATCCCGTTTCGGGCCGGTGGCGACAATGATGGACATATGGAACTACTTAAAGGAGGGGACACTACCCGAAGACAAAGACGAAGCTCGAAAGATGAGGGTAAGGTCATCTAAATTTGTCATCATTGGGAATGAACTCTTCAAACGAGGCATCTCAGCTCACTTACTAAAATGCCTCACCAAGTCCCAAGCCACCTATGTCATCGAAGAGATCCATCGAGGAATATGCGGTATGCATTCCGGGGCACGTTCGATGGCGACCAGGGTGATCCAAGCTGGATATTACTGGCCCATGCTGAAGTCAGATTGCAAAGATTACGTACAAAGGTGCAAATAATTTCAGCAGTTCGACAACACACATCGACAGCCACCCGATATCCTCCACAAAATGGCGTCCCCATGGCCCTTTGCCCATTGAGGAATGGATATCCTTGGACCATTCCCCCCGCGAAAGGCCAACTAAAATTCCTCCTCGTCACCGTCGACTACTTCACCAAGTGGATCGAGGCCTGCCCACTCGCCAAAATCACTACCGAGAACATGCAAAAGTTTACCTGGAAGAACATCATTTGCAGGTTCGGTATCCCGCACTCCCTCATCACCGATAATGGTAGGAAATTCATCGCACAAAGCTTCGAGATCTTCCTCCGAGAGCTCGGCATCAAGCACCTCCCCACCTCGGTGGAACATCCCCAAACCAACAACCAAGTCGAAGCTAGGAACAAAGTCATTTTAAGAGAACTCAAAAAACGACTAGGGAGTGCCAAGGGACAATGGGTTGATGAGCTCCCTAGCATTCTCTGGGTATATCATCGCACCCCACAATCCACAACTCAAGAAACTCCCTACAAGCTAACCTATGGAGCCGACGCCATGATCAGCCGAGGTCGGTGAGACGTCTCATCGGCATCACTACTTTGACAGTGAGCAAAACACCCAAGAAACAGCAGCCAACCTCGACCTAATAGACAAACTCAGATAGGAAGCTCGGATTCAAGAAGAAGCATGCAAACTCCGCGCTTCTAGACGCTACAACACTAAGGTCTGTTTGAGGGCCTTTCGAGCAAGAGACCTCGTCTGGCGACTACAAGGCGAGGCGAGGAGAGACCCATCAGAAGGAAAACTCGCACCTAATTGGGATGGCCCGTTCCGAGTCACCGAAGACTTAGAAAATGAAGCATACCGACTAGAGGAGCTCAGCGACAATTTAATAGATATCTAATACGAGTAAAGATATACTCCAATACCTCATCACCATAAGGATGAAATTGAAAGACAGGTTTTGGAGCTACTGCAAAAAGGGTTAATTCGGGCCAGTAATAAATCTTTCTCTAGCCCAGTCATCTTGGTAAAGAAAAAGGACAACTCGTGGAGGATGTGTATGGATTACACGGCTCTAAATAATGTTACAATTTCGGACAAATATCCTATTCTAGTGGTGGAGGAACTCCTTGATGAGTTGCATGGAGCTTGGGTATTCTCTAAACTTGACCTCAAATCGGGTTTTAACCAATCAAAGTAAAGGATGAAGACATCCATAAAACGGCTTTTCGAACTCATAATGGCCACTACGAGTACTTGGTCATGCCATTTGGGTTAATGTATGCTCCTGCCACATTTCAGCCCACGATGAATGATGTGTTTAGATCTTGTTTATGCAAATTTGTTCTTGTGTTTTTTGATGATATTTTGGTCTACAGTCCAAATTGAGAGATGCATCTATTGCATTTGGCTGAGGTGTTACAGACTTACAGTTGTTGAAAATTAATAGACTTGTGGTAAACAAAAGAAGTGCAGCTTTCATAGGAAATCAATAGATTATTTGGGCCACCAAATCTCATGGGAAGGGGTGTGTCCATGGATCCGAAAAAAATTGTCAATGTGCTAAATTGGCCTACTCCAAAGAATGTTAAGGGAGTGAGAGGATTTTTTGGGTCTCACCGGGTATTATCGAAAGTTCATCAAAGATTATGATAAGATAGCCAAACCCTTAACTGAGTTGACCAAAAAAGACAACTTCCGTTGGGGTCAAGCAACTCAAGTAGCCTTTGAAACACTAAAAAAGGTAATGACCTTTGCACCAGTATTGGTTCTACCAAATTTTTCTCAACTTTTTAAAATTGAATGTGATGCATCCGAGAGGGGAATTGGGGTTGTGCTTATGCAACATAAGCGCCCCTATTGCCTATTTTAGCTTGTTGTCCGCTTCTATGGCCCTTTCCAAGTTTTAGAACGTTGTGGACCAGTTGCCTATAAGCTGAAGTTGCCTCCTTCCTTCAGGGTACACCCTGTCTTCCATGTATCCCAATTAAAGAAGGCAATTGGCAATTATTCTGTAGAGCCAGACCTTCCACAAGGGCTAGAATTGGGGATACAAGAGTCTGCAGAACCAGAGAGCATCATTTTGCAAGAAAGTTATCCAAATAGGGTGAGACAATTCAACAACTTCTTGTGAAATGGAAGAACAAGCCTATGGAGGATACTACATGAGAAGATGAGTTCGTCATACGCAATCAATTTCCTTCCTTTAGCCTTGAGGACAAGGCTGATTTCATAGGAGAGGGCAATGATAGAGCCCAATTAGTAAGGTAAGATAGCAGGCCCAAGGTTTGGAGAGTCTACACTAGGAGGAATAAGATTTAATAGTTTATTATCTATTTTTTATCTATTTAGGAAGTTGATAATTGTTTCTGTTTTATCTCTTTAAATTTAAAGATAGGATTATCTAGGAAGTTAATAATAGATAAGATTTTATCTAGGAAGTTTGCTAGGAGGAATATAAAAAAAAAGGGCAGGGGAAGTCTGTAGGAGCACAGAGAGAAGTTATTCTTTAAGAAATTGTTCGGAGCCTGTGCTCTGGGAAAAAAAAAAGGGAAGCAGATATAAGTCTTTTTTTTATTCAATAAAATATTCTTTATATTTCCAAGGTCCTAACAGACCCTTTTCAAAAAAGACACTACCAAGGACAAATAGAGTAAAAATTAAGAAATCTGCAAGATTAGGTTGCAGGGATAATATGGTTTAGAAAACCTTTGCCAGCATGATGAAAATGCAGCTTATATCTGCAAACGTTACAGCCAACCACCACCGAACATTTCCTCAGACCCCAAAGTCACAACTCAAGCAAGTCATGATAAACATAAAGATTTGAAAAGTGATGCACTTGTAAACTCTGAACAAAATCCTAGCCCCCTTAGCTACAAACTAACTACATTTTCTGGGAAACAGAATTCAATTGAATTCAATCTGTCTATATTATCCTCTTTCCATCAAAAGCTAAAAGCAGATGACCACTACAAAACAGTTTTCATGATACACACAAAAGTATAAAGTTTCTCTCTTAAGAGTAATTTTATCTCCTCACTCATACATATATCATCTCCTGATGAATTAAAAAGTCATTGTAAAACTTTTCATGACATTATTGCTCCCAAATACCATTGCTAATACTCAGAACAACACCCATTTGGTCCAATAAGCAAAAGACTATCTATAACAAACCAGTTACATTATTTAAACATGAAATAATTGACATCACATAAATTATCTCCTAATGAGTTTTAAAGACATTCACAACACTTTTCACAAAAGTCATGGCTCCCAAATACCATAGCTAAAACTCAAAACAACCCTCATTTCCAATAAGCAAAAACGTATATATCAATAATATTTTCACACAATCAAAGTAGAAACAAATAAACACACCGGTAACATTATTTGAACATGAAATAATTCATGCCACACGATACATAACTATCTGTACCTCTCACTATTTTCCTATACACACATCTCAAAAGTGAAACCAGCTCCTCTAAAGTGAGTTATAAATCAATGAGTTGATGATGAGAAAATCCGTAGTTGATGTGATGTAGACTATAGACGTGTATAACAAATCATAAATCTTAGCCAATGATGAAAAAACCAACATTTAAATGTTAAGTGTACATCTATAACAAATCATAAACATATTTAAATATGAATCATTTAACTTTTCATCAACAACTTTACCCTTTCTCAAGGAGCCAAATCACTCAAAAATACTCTCTAAATGCAAAGGGGACAATTTGTTGCATTCTTTTAAAATGTTGGTTTGGACCTAACTCACTTATATACTCTATGTTTATTTAATCTACATTAGATGAAGGACTTGGATTTTTTCTAGCCTAGTACTATTAAACTTGATAAGTGGTTAAATAGTGAGTAGTCATTTTAATGATAAGTGGACTCGGGTTTTTCCCTAAGATAGCTCTGGTACATTCTTATCATATTAGAATAAGGGTTTAGGCTTAAGTTATCCCTACAAAACCAGCCGATAAGTACGAGATTTTACTCTAGTACATTCAAACTGTACCAACAAAACATTTTTGCAAACACTACCATACCATAAGAGCATTCAAATCCTGAAAAGCCTCCTGCAAGCTCCTATCAGTACTCTCCCACATTTCCTGCTCCTTCCTCAATATCCCCGACACTCCCACCATCCTCACCGTCCCGTCACTCGAATAAATCCCGCTCGAGGACGCTGCCGCCGTTGCCGACACCGCCGCCGCCGCATTTGAGCCAGAGCTCGAGCCACTCTCCGCCTCCTCCCACGCCCTGGCGCGCCAATTCTCCCAAAACTTGGTCAGGAACGCGTCGCAGTCCCCCTTCCCCCTCACCACCACCGTCGCCACCACCGATCGCGATCCCGACGCCGCCACCCTGCCCTCCGGCGAGAGCGACACCTGGAAGCGGACCCGCGGCGAGGCGAAGACGGACCGGATGGACTTCTTGTGGGAGAAAATATGGGAGATGGCGGGGAGGGGGACGGCGGCGGCGGAGGAGGCGGCGCCTGCGGCGGAGTCCGGGAGCCAGAGGAGGCGGTGCGTGGTGAGGATGAGGAGACCAGATTTGAGGTGGGGGAAGCTCGTGTTTGGTTCGTCTTCGCAGAGAAGGTCCACGCCGGAGAGGAAGAAGCATTCGATTTCGTTCGGTTCGAGCACCGGGCGGCCACTGCCGGTGAGCTTCACCGACGGCAAGCAGTTTCCGGCCATCGGCGAGTCGAGCGGTTCAACGTCGTTGCGAGGGTGGCAGCTCTAGTTCCTGTGGGTGGCTATGCTCCTTAAAAGTTAAAATCACAGTATGCGGTTTGTCAAGATTCTTTTTTAGTTATTTTGAAGGTAAATTAACTAAATAAGAAATGGTTAAGTTCAGTAAAAGACAATGTTTAACTTAATTATAATTTGTTTGTTGAGAAAAAAAATAAAGTTTAATTGCACCTCTACTCCGGTATTTCTTATGTTTTATCTCTTAATTTTATTTTATTTTTTTGTAAAATTGATCTCTCACTGTTTTAATTCACGATGAAGGATGAGTTTAATAAACGTTAAAGTTAGAATATTTTAATTATCGGTTATGTGTAATCGATTATTGTTATAATTGGTTTGTGATTGGAATACATTTTTGTTTGAATAAACTTGCTAAAAAACAATTTTAAGATATTTAATTTTAATTGTATACAACAAAAATAAATTTTTTTTAGCAAAATTAGTAGTAGAAGAAAACAAAAAGTTAAAAAATTATTATAAATTTTAAATTTTTAGATTAAAAAAAGTATTTTTCAAAAAGAAAAAAATTACAAATTGAAATTATTAACAATTAGTATTTTTTATACAAAAGTTTTTTTTTTTTTTCACAATCGTCGAAATTATAGAGAAATTTATCATACTTATAAAAATACATCACTTTCATTAACACAATAATAAAGAAGTTCTCACACTATTAGCACCTTCAAACATGGCTTAAAACTTATTTATTTTTTAAATTAAATACATATTCACACTCAGCAAACATCAAGGAACATAATAGAAAACTTCAGCATTAAAACAAAAAATATTCATATTTTGTCTGTTTCTCGTAGGGTTTCCCATAGGAACCTATAGAGCACTTTAATCCCTATCAAAACATATTCAAACTCAAAATTAAACATACATTCATGCTAAGTAATCATTAGGGAACACAACAAAAAATTCAGAATTTAAAACAAAAATCATTCAAAATTTGTCTGTTTCTCGTAGGGTTTCCCATAGGAACCCATAGAGTACTCTAATTCATATCAAAACATATTCAAATTCAGAATTAAACATACATTAATGCTTAGTAATCATCAGGAAATACAACAGAAAACTCATAAGCCAAAATGATGGAATCACACTAAGGCCAAAAAAGACCAAGAGGTGATATATTGAAGGAGGCAAGAGGAATGGGTTAGTTTTGAAAATCATAAGAGGAGTGGGCCTACTTTTGGGCCTTAGCTCCTACGTTTTTTTATTAGTATAGGATTTATTCCTATTTTACCCTTATCTTTAATTTCCTATATTTACCCTTGTATTTTGGGGTGTCTTATTTATAGGATTTATTTTTACTTGTATTTCTCATTTTACCCTTATATTATGAGGTGCCTTAGATTATAGGATTTTATTTTATAGCTAGGGTAATTTATTAGGGTGAGAAAATAAGGCCTAGACTTCTCTTTTGGTAGCCTTGGATTTATTTTTGGACTTGGCAAGGTTTAGGCCCAAGTGGAGGGCACCTAGGTTGCATGGTCTTATCATGCACCTAGATGTAGCTTAACCAAACCCAAAGATTCCATCCTTGGCCACCAAGTAGCATCTAGGATTAATTTAGGTTTCATTCGAAGTGCATTTGGCTTGCATTTTTCTCAAATGTAACCCTGTACTATCCACATCGGACACCGAGCTCAAGCTCGGCGCCCAAGCGCCGCACAACCTCGGATAGGCGCTACATGATATCAGTCAAAGTAAAGGCCCAATGCCTATTGGGCCGTAGCCAACCTCAAGCCCAGATCAATCTTATCATTGCCCAAGAGGAAACCCTAATTCCACATCAAGGTACGTGCACTATATATACGAGACACTCATATGATCAAACACTAACTTTAGCATCAGAGTCTCTTTTGCAGGTACCACCCCCATCTCGAAGCAGCCGACGTACCCAGCAAAGAAGGCTCACCAATCTTGCCCAGCAGATCGTCCCTCTTGACCAATCTTAGGTTAGATCATTTGGCGCCCACTGTGGGGCAGATCAAGAAGTCTCTTATCGTTCACGCTTATGGTTTTCACCCGAAGCCATAGTAGAAGAGCAAAAGACGAAGCAGAACAAGCACCCAGGATGGAAGGAGAAGCAACCCTACAACGACTGATCGAACAGGTCGAACAGATGTAGCAGTGGCACACTGCCGACCTGGAAAATATGCGTACACGCCACGAGGCTGACTTGGCGGCGCTACAGGCTAAGAACGAGCGCATTCGTGCTCAACTCCATCAACAGCCCCCACATGTACCTCCTCAACCAAGCAACCAACACGAGGAGGAGCACCAATCGATCTCTCCAGCACTAACAACGCCGAAGACAGCCACTCACCGATCAGTGACATATCGGTCACGTGCATCGACGCAAAGATCAGATCAGGAGGTTAGCAATGCACATACCTTAGCTCCGTCACAACAGGCCAATGTTCACCGCCACCCCTTCATGGACGACATTATAGAGACACCCCTCCCCTTTGGCTGGAAACCCCTGAACATCGACCGATATGATGGGAGCACATAGATCTCTAAGTCACTCAGTTGAACCTCTACACCAACGATGACGCCATCTTGTGCCGGGTTTTCCCGACCTCACTGAAAGGATTGGCACTCGCGTGGTATACCCAACTACCACCAGGGTCGATCAGCAACTTCAACGCCTTGGTTAGGCGATTTACGACACAGTATGCAGCAAGCCGACCCCACCACATCACCCTGGTTGCCTTAGCCAGGCAAGGTGACAACGAGCCGCTGCGCAAATTCATGGAGCGATTCGCCAACATCGTCATCAAGATCCGCAACCTGAACCCCGAGGTCGCCCTACACGCTATGCTCATTGAACTCAAGCCGGGTCCCTTCATCGATAGCCTTTATCGGCGACCTCCACCGGACATGGACGAACTCCGTGCCCGAGCTGCCAGGTACATTCAAATGAAAGAGCACACAACGTTCCGCGACCAAGTACGTGGGAAACCACAAGGGAGGCAAGACCACGGCCACAAAGATAAGATGAGAGTCTCCAACGACAGTCAATTCAAAAAGACTAGGCTGAACAAAGGCAAGAAGTACGACTTCTATACCCCCTTGAACACCCGAGTACACATACTAGAGGAAGCCAGTAACACCGACCTGATCACCCTAACACCACCCGGGCACAACCCCAGTAGCGTGGACAAATCCAAACATTGTCGATACCAAAGAAACTATGGTCACACAACCAAGGACTGCCGCACACTCAGGGACGGCATTGAGGAACTCGTCCAAGGAGGTCACCTCAGACAATACGTCCAATGGCAACAATCTCATAAGGGAGGCTACCATGGACATGGACGAGGACAAGGACGGGGCCGAGGCTCCGGTGCTCGAGCAGACCAACCCTCCAGATCCTAACAAAACATCGACGGAGCAGTGCAAGCCGAGGTAAGTCATGACACAGGAATGACTCCCTTGCGTGGAGTCATCAATATAATTGCAGGTGGCTTCGCAGGGGGAGGATCCAGTAGCTAAGCACGCAATAGACATTTGCGAAGCATCAACAATGTCCACGCGGACACCTCAGCCCCGCATCGTAACATGCCACCCATCACTTTCACGGATGACGACTTTGTCGGCATCTGCCCAAACCAGGACAACCTTGTGGTCATCGTAGTGGAGGTAACTAATTGGGAGGTCCATAAGACACTAATCGACCAAGGAAGCTCGACAGACGTCCTATACTGGCTAACATTCCTAAGGTTAGACATACATCATTCTCTCATCCAACCTTACACAAAACCCCTAGTCAGTTTTGCAGGAGAATGAATCCACACTCAGGGATACATAGAACTGTTGACAACCTTTGGGACACCCCCCAACTCAAGAAGAACCATGGTCAAATACCTTCTCGTCGATGCCAACACATCATACAACATCATCATAGGCAGGCTGACTTTAAACCAACTCGGAGCTATGGTGTCCACCCCGCATTTGACGATGAAGTTCCCAGGAGGTAACAGCCAGATAATCTCGGTCAAGGCAAACCAAAGAACAGATCGTCAATGCTATGCTGAAAGTCTAAAGGCATCATCAACAGCAGAGGAGAAACGTCGAGGAGACTCCCCCATTATCACTCACATCACTCAGGTTGACATTACTGACCTAGATCCGAGGTCGGAGTCCCATGACAACCAACCAAGCCCAATTGACGAACTAACGGATCTTCAAATCGGAAAACTCCCCAGCCAATGCACCAAAATAAGTCGACATCTGAACCCGGAACTAAGACAACAACTAGAGACCAAGATCTCCAAAAATGTCAACCTATTCGCGTGGTCCAGTGCCGACATGCCAGGTATAGACCCTAACCTCATCTGTCACAGGTTGGTAATCCACAAAGAGGAAAAACCAGTGGCTTAGAGGAAACGAAAGGTCGACGAAGAAAGACAGGAAGCCATCATAGTTGAGACACAAAAGTTAATGAGAGCAGGATTCATCCGAGAAGTCTGATACACTACGTGGCTAGCCAATGTGGTGCTCGTCAAAAAACAATCAGGAAAATGCGTTTATGCGTCGACTACACCGACCTGAACAAAGCTTGCCCCAAAGACGCCTACCCCCTACCGAGCATTGATAGGTTGGTCGACGGTGCATCCGGTCACGCCCTTCTCAGCTTTTTGGATGCATACTCTAGATACAATCAGATCATGATGTACCCACTGGACGAAAAGCACACGGCTTTCATCACCGATCATGCCAACTTCTGCTACCACGTGATGCTTTTTGGCCTTAAAAACGCGGGAGCTACTTATCAAAGGTTAATGGACAAGGTCTTCCACTAGCAGATCAGACGAAACATGGAAGTCTACGTAGATGACATGGTCGTGAAAACCACATTGATCGTCGCCCATGTTGCTGACCTAGCCAAAGTGTTCAATCAAATACGGAAGCACAACATTCGCTTAAACCCCAAAAAGTGCGTCTTCGGGGTCTAGGGAGGCAAGTTCCTCGACTTCATGATCACCCATAGGGGTATTGAAGCCAATCCAGAAAAGTGCAAGGCAATCATACAGATGCATAGCCCCCA